GGACTCCAACCTGCTGATACCAGGGGCACCCCAGTCTCAGGCACAATCACCAAAAGTGTTTCCAGACACTGCCCATGTCCCCTGGTGGTCAGAAGCACCCTGGCTGAGAATCACTGGTCTAAATTACCATGAAGTGGCTACTGGGCAAGGTTGGTTCCTGCAACCACAAAATGGGGGGACATTCCTACCTTGTAGGCCTAAATTAAATAACACATGTATCTAGGTACTCTCAGCACACCCCAGTGTTTAAGTGTCTTGGTATCTGGGGCAACTCAGCGTCTACACAACTGATGGCCCCTCATAAATGCTGGAAAATCTGAAGGGAACTTGAGGTTAGTGGTTTAGGGTGGTTTAGGGCTGAGATTTCTCCTGGAAGTTATTTATAGTCTATCAAGAAACTTAACACTTTCAACCTTCAGTTAATGTCAAAGTTACCTGGTGATTTCTTTTATTTGTTTATATTTTTTGAGATAGAATCTCACTCTGTCACCCAGGCTAGAGTGCCGTTGCATCATAGCTCACAGCAACCTCATACTCTCGGGCTCAACTGATCCTCCCGCCTCAGCCTCCCAAGTAGCTGACACTACAGGCACCCACCACCACGCCCAGCTAGTTTTTCTATTGTTAGTAGAGACAAGGTGTCTCTTGTGCTCAGGCTGGTCTTGAACTCCTGAGTTAAAGCAATCCACCACGTTGGCCTCCCAGAGTGCTGGGGTTACAGGTGTGAGTCACTGTGCCCAAGCCTAGTGATTTCTTTAGCTCTAGTTCGTGAGGTCTCCTATCTTGCCATTTATCACCATTTCTACATCAAATACTTAAAAGACATCAGGATGAAGAGAAGACAAATCACAGGCTGGAAAAAAATGTTCACAGAACATGTACCGGATACAGAACTTGTATCTAAAATATGCAAAGAACTCTTACAACTCAGCAATAAGAAAACAACAACTTTATTAAAAAATGAGCCAAAGACCCTAAGAGACACCTCAGCCAGGAAGATATACAGGTGGCAAACAAGCACAGGAAAAGATGCTTCACGTCATACAGCATCAGGCAAATGCAAGTTCAAACAGTGAGACACCACCGTACACCCCCCCTATTAGAATGGCCAAAACCCAGAACCCTGCCAACCAAATGCTGGGGAGGACGTGGAGTAACAGGTATGTCCCTCCACAGCTGGCGGGATGTAAAACAGAACAGACATTTATTAGACAGTTTGGGGGTTTCTTCCAAGACTAAGTAGACTCTCGCTGTGCAATCCAGCAGTGGGGCTCCCTAGTATGAGCCCAAATGAACTGAACACTTAGGCCACACAGAAACCTGCACAGCAGCTTTATTCATTGTGGCCAAAACTTGGAAGCAGCCAAGATGCCCTTCCTCACTCGGTTCATCCAAACGACAGACTGTTAGTGTTGAAAAGAAATGAACTATCAAGCCATAAAAATACGTGGAGAAAACAGCACCTCAGTGAGCCCAAGAAGCCAATCTGGGAAGACCACACACTGTATGATTCCACCTATACGACATTCCGGAAGAAACAAAACCATGGAGACAATTTAAAGAAAAAAAAGATCAGTAGTTGTCAGGGATTAGGGGAAGTGAAGGGACACATAGGCCGTGCACAGAGGATTTTTAGGGCAGGGAAACTCCTGTGTATGGTGCTATAATGGCAAATACATACCATTGTATGTTTGTCCAAACCCACAAAATGCACCACAGCAAGCATGACCCCTAATGCAAACTACGGACGGGGAGATAATGACATTTGACTGTAACAAACGGAACACTGACAGACAAGGAAGGTGGGGGCACTGGAAGAAGGGACCGGTGGGAACACTGCACAGCAGTAAACTAAAACTGCTCTAAATACACAGAGTGTACACATATTCTCAATATATACATAGTTTTTAAAGGCGAGCAGGGAACAGGAACTCCCTTAATGTTTTTCTCAGAGAAGAAAGAGGAGCAGAACCTCTGGCTGCTCTGGCTCTGGCGGTCTTGGCTCTCTGGGAAATCCTGACATGGGTCACAGATCAGTGGTACCTGATGTCCAGCATTTGAACACAGTGCAGAGAGGCCTCTCATGGCAAACGAGTGGAGGTGACGCTTTCCAGCCCCTTTCTACCAGGGCCTCCCTGGACCCAGAGCTGGCAGTGCCTCTGAGGATGTTCACAGCGCTGTGCCGGGCCCACCTCCTGGCCCCTGGACCTACAGGGTCCTTCCCCCCAGGGTCCCCATGCGGGACCAGCCTGAAGGTTCTTCCCTCCTGTCCCAGCTCTTTTGGGCCCCAGCAAAGTGGGCCAGCATTCCCAGCACAGGGTTCTCTGATGTCCCCAGACACACTGTGGGAGCCTTGGGGTCTGCAGGGCCCCTCCCTACTCTCCCAATACCCTCACTTAGATGCTTCCCTTTTCTCAGCCTGGCCACCACATGACCCTCCTGGCGGTGCCTCCCCTAAAGATGAGCCTGAATCACGCCTGCCATGAAGTTCACCCACAGACACTTCCTGCAATGGTTCCATCAAACCCCAGCACCCCACATTCCTAACACTGCCTCCTGGAACTGGACAAGACATTTAGCCCAAATGTCCCTCCATGCCTTGTCACACCCAGATGACCTCTGTCAGTCAGGTGAGGTCAAACACCCATCCCCCAGGGCCCTCAACTTAGGAAACTGTCAGAGTCACAGAGTCACGTCCACAGTCCGACTGCACCGTCAACCTTCTAACAGAAGAGGAAATGCAGCCAGCAAGGCAGCGGGCGGGCAGGGCCACGGACAACCAAGCCTCCTGAGGGCCCTCTCCCTGGTCACTCCCTGGCAGGCAGATGAGCACAAGCTCTGATGGCCCAGAGTCAGGGCCAGGAGCTGCTCTCACCGGGGATGGCCAGGAGTACAAGTTGCCAAGGCAACAGACCTGCAGAAATACCAGCGAGTCTGAATTATTCAAGCCCTCATTATCCAGTTTCCCGACTCCTCCACTTCCCAGAAGACCACAGAGAAGCCACTTAGCCCTTCCCAGTCCGGCCCCTCCATCAGTTCCTGTGTCTGGGTCCAATTGGGGTTGGTGGCTTTCTGCTTGTATGGTGTCCCCTAGGGTGCCAGGCACCCCTACCTTGAGAACCAAGGCGAGAGTTCAGCCAACTGAAAGCAGCATCAGCGATACCAGCGAGATGTCGCGCCTCCTGTCTTCACGTCTATTCTGTTCATCACAAGATGCTCTGGGCTACTGGGATTCTTGGTATATTTTAATTAAACAAGAATGGCTCTCAATTTCCCAGGCACACATTAACTTACTTTACTCTGAAACTCAGGACCAGGTCTATTCCAAGAGCATAAATATCACCTGTAAAAAGCAGTTACGAGTCCAGAACATTCCACTTCTCTGCAGTTTTGCAAAAGACTTCTTTCTCTGGTTCCTTCTGGTGTCAGTGCAAACCTCACACACACACCCCCACCTCCTCATCCCCCATACCACCCCCCCAACCCAACCACCCCCACTCTCTCTGACTGCCCTGGGCATTTTCTCCCTAGCACACCCTCCTACCAATTGTCTGTTTATTCATTAGGATGCTGAGTCCCCATTCCACCAAAGCAACAGCCTCCATCCTGCTTGTTGCCAAGATTCCTACCAGAGTTCAAACCCATCGCAGGTGCCTAACAGACTCAGGAATGAATTGGAAGGAGGAGCCTCTGTTACTGTTGTAAAGCTAAAGAGGAACTGAAAAGATTTCTGGTCCAGGGCCCTGATGACAGCAGTAGGGGAAGCCCATCCCAGAGGCAGTGCTGCTGACAGAGAGAAGGGTGACAGCCACTTACCAGGACAAACAGAGTAATGCAAGTCAGGGCGGGTCTCCAGCATAAGGCTTGAGAGAGCAGAGGCTTGGAAATACTCAAGGAGACTCACTGAGGGTGTTAAGGCCCTGCCCTGGGGGATCCGGATGAAGCTGGAGCAGATACGTGTCACTGGGGCACCAGCTGCCCTGGGGGAAATGTCCGGAAGGACTGTCCCTACACTCACACAAATCCATGGGGCAGTGCAAGGGGACACACACTACTTACACACACCCCCTAGAGGAACTTCTGTCACTTTCATCCCAGAGCACACACCTCCATAGGAATGGGGAGGGGTGTACATGCTGGACGCAGGAAGGATACAGTCAGGCTCAGCCATGTAAAGAAAACATGCTGAGTACCCACGACTGGAGGGTTGTCCCAGGGACCTGCCCAAAGCCATCTCCTCAGCTTCAGGCCTCCCCTCTGCCTTTTCACAAGGTCACCTCCATTCTTGGTAAGGTCAGTTCTCCCAGGACCTATCCAGGATCTCACAATAAGGCTCTGCCCCAGAGGAAGAAGCTGCAGCCCAAACAAAGGGAAAATTCAGGAAGCAGCTCACAGGGAGGCCCTGGGAAAGCTGAGGGTTTAAAGACGCCACAGTGTCCCTTGCAACTCTAAAAAACTTAAAAATGCACCAGGACGTAGTTTTTCAGAATTATTTTCATGAGCACATAAGGTTAAAAAAAAAAAAATCTGGGGTGATCTCCACAGGCCTTACTCGCAGGCGTCCCCGGCCTGTGGCCACCCGTCCCGCGCCCCTTTCCGTCCTCCTCCCCCGACCTTGCGTGTCCTGCGGGACACTGGCGCCCCTCCCGGAGGCCCCGCACACATGGACCGAGCCGGCACGTGCGGCCGGCGGTGGCTGCCTGCCCTCAATAAATGGCGACTGGAGCAGGGTGGGCGCGGGGACCGGACGTTTGCTCCGACCCTGGCCGAGCAGGAGCGGGCCAGGCGGCAGGCAGTTACCAGATGCCGGCACCCCAAAGGGGCCAGACCCGCCGCCCGCGCGGGGCGCCGAGGAGCAGGACGGCCCGGCCCCAAGGTCGCACGCGCAGGCCGGGGAGGGCGCGGGGCTGAGCGCGTGGGTCGCCGCTCACGGGGCGGGGCCGTCCCCGCGTGGGTCCCCTCGGCCGAGGCGCGTGTGCGCGTGCGCGGGGCGCACTCACCCTCCCGGGCTTTCTTCTTCCTCGCCAGCGTGCCGCTCAGCTTGCCCAGGAACGACTCGTCCTTCTTCATCCTGCGGGGCCGCGGAGTGGGCGAGCGCGGCGGCGCAGAGGACATGGGCCGCGCGGGGGGCCGGCGCGGGCGGAGCGCGTGTGGCTGCCGCCCTGGTCGCCGCCGCCACCCGCTCGCCCCGGGGAGTGGCCGACGGCGCCGCCCCGCGCCCGCCCCTGGCCTGCCCCGCGGCCGGGGTGGCCGGACGCCGAGGTCTGCCAGTCCCCAGAGGAGTGTCGTCCGCACCACGCCGCGTAGGGCAGCTAACTCTCAAAGAACGTGGAGTTGAGGAGGAGTGTTCCGCTATTAAGGGTCGGAGGGGGACTGACACCCAGGGCGCACCCTGTGGCCTTTTCCCCAGCACATTAGAGCCAGTGCCGGGCTGTGCTGGCCGTGCTGGCTGTACTGACTGTGCGGGATTCAGTGGGATGCTCGGCGGCCACAGCCACCATCCTGTGTGACCTCAGCGTCCTGGAAGCCCAGGGAAGCACAGAACCGCCTAACATGGAGTTTCAGCTGTGGCGCCTCCGCCCGGACCCAGACCTGAGGCTGAGGAACTCCTCCGGGGAAAGGACCGTCCCCACCCATGAGAAGCTTGGGTGGTGCTGTGGGACAGGGAACGGCCATACCCGATTTCCTCCAAGGGGCATTCTAGGAGTTGGTAGTGGGGAGCCCCGGGAGACAGCTCAGGACCAACCGTGGTCCCAGGGAAGGGGAGCGGAGGGGAGGCAGGCTTCGCATCCCTGGAAGCCAAAAAGACCAGGCTTGGTCTCCAGCCGTCTGGCAGGGCTTTGAGCTATGCTGTGACCTGGGGTTTGGGTCCCACAGAGCTGCCTCGGCCTGGGCTGTGCACAGCGGGTATGGTGGCCTATGTGTGAGGAGCTCAGGATGGTGGTGGAGTCACTACCCAGACACCAGGGTGTCAGAGGGCCACACCTGGAGAGAAGCCTCAGAGTTTAGACCGGAGCTTGCCAGTGGCAGTTATTCTCCCATCTCCGCTGTCCTGGCTCCAGGCCTCCCCCTGTAAACATCAGTCCTGGGCAATAAACATTTATGTGGTGCCAGTGGGTGCGAGGCCCCGGCCCCTGACCAGGGGAGCAGGAAGGGGCTGCCCTCCAGGAGTTGGTAGTCAAGTTGTAGCAAAGTTACAGGGGGCACAGCCGCCACCTGGCGGGAGGGAGGGCTGTGGGGAGCAGAGCACCTGTGGGGCAGAGGAGGCTTTTAGGGAAGGGACCTTTGACCTGGGACAATCTTAAAATACCCTTTCCCTTCAGTAAAGAAAGAAAAGGTGCAGGCTGGGGGCAGAGGGAGACAATGCTATGCTGGTATCTTGGGGTCACCAGAGCAAAGTACCACAAACTGGGGGCCTCAGAACAGCAGAAATTTCTTCTCTTACAGTTTGAAGGATCTGTGCCTTCCTCTCAGCTCCTGGCAGTTCGGTGGTGGTCTGTGGGGCTCTCTGAATTGTGAGACTTCTGCCCCACTCTCTACCTCCGCCTGCACAGGCCTCTGTGTGTCTCTCTGTGTCCAAACATTTATAAGGTCACAGTGGTGTTGGTCAGAGCTCACTCTGATCACCTCATCCTGACTCGATCATCTGCAAAGACCCTTGTGATACTATGATGAAAACACTGGTTTTCATCCACTGTTCCTGGCTCCAAACGCCCATAACCCTGTTATTTCTTACATGACTAAAACGAGCATAGCTCTTGCTAAAGTGTTTGGCCTTTTGTCCTTGGCTGCTGAAGCAGCTTGGAAACAGCTTCAGAGGACACAGGTGAAAGACAGTCCACCGTTGTAATGTTGGGGCACGTCAGGCCTCAGGAATGGCATGGCCTTCCCTTCACCTGCTCCGTTTCCTCCCCGGGGCAGGCCATAGAAACAGAAAATACGCTGTGATCTTCCCCTGCCTTTCTGTCTGTCTGGGGGCTCGCCATAAATCCTGGCCTACCTGTCTGGCCACAAGACCCCCATTTCAGAGGGGCACTCTAGTGTCTCAGTGCCCAGAGGAAAGAGGGCTGAAGGGAAAGGCCAGGAAGAATCTAAACAGGCCTTGCCAGGTCTCTCCACCTGGTGGGTCAGTGTCACATCAGTCCCTTCCTGCCCAGTCTCAGGTCTACATGGCCAGTGACTAAGATGGAGGAACATGCTTCAACCTGTGACAGCAGTGAGCTGGAGTGGGGACACTGGGGCACTGAGACACTTGAGTGCCAAGTGTATGTGACCTTGTGCAGGGAAACGCTGCACATTCAGGAGTGGAACCAGTGTGGGGAAGGAGTGAGCAGACCCAGCCAGAAACCAGTCGCAAAGGGCCTGACATGGGCCAGGCGAGGATAGTGGAGGTCGAGCGAGCAGGCAGTCGGAGAGGGAGGGAGGACAGATGTATATGAACTTGGGGGACTGGGAACCATAAAACGTGGATAGTGATTGATGCCTGGGTTAGGGAAGTAAAGGGTCGAACAGGTCTCGGAGGCACTTACGTACATGGCCTGATTTACATGGCCCTGACCAGGCTGGGGAAGATGCTGAGTTTGGTTATTGAGATCCCAATGAGAACATGGCACAGTCAGGGAAGGCAGAGATCTGGGGGCTCTCTGAATGCGAGGGGATGCTGTCATCTGGGGTAGGGGTCTCTGACCTCTGAGCAGCTGGTGCACACTACAGACCCTCTAGGCTACAGAGACACACACGCAATGTCACACTGCTCCTGACACTCCCATTGCCCTTGGCATACCCACAGACCCCTGCTAGAGGACCTCAGACCAGGGGAGAAGAAACACCAACCAGGGAAAGAAAACAGACGAGAGCCATCTGCACAGAGGGCAAGAATGAGAGAAAAACCAAGGTCTAGAGGCTGAAGTAGAGAGGCATCACTGGGTGTGTGGGAAGTGCCCAGAAAAGAACTGATTATCTGAATGTTCGATTGGTGGTTCTGGCTTTCAAGTGAGCACACGGAATTTATAAATGTATAAATGAAAATTACAGAAGTTGCATTTGGTGATTGTTAATTTGAACACTGAAGAAGCAGGTGGAATCCTACTTTTTAAAAATGCCTTTATAGGCTGGGCACAATGGCTCATGTCTGTAATCGTAGCACTTTGGGGGGCTGAGATGAGAGGATCACTGGCCAGGAGTTCAAGACTTGCCTGGAGAAACATACTGAGACTCCATCTCTCCAAAAAGTTTGTAAACCTAGCCGGATGTGACACCAGACACCTGTAGTCCAGCTACTAGGGAGGCTGAGGTGGAAGATGGCTTGAGCTCAGGAGTTGGAGGCTGTCATGAGCCATGATCATAGCACTGTGCTCCAGCCCGGGTGACAGAGCAAGTCACCTGAACACACACACACAGGGGAACCTCTGCAACAAACTGGTCAACATACAGAGGAGGTCAACATGAGGAATTTCCATTGAGTCCATGTGATACATGCCCAGTCTATGAAAATTAGGTCCACTTAAAGAGGATCTCAACATAGGGAAGTGGTCAGCTCTGGAGGTTCGTGTGTATGTGTGTGTGTGTGTGTGTGTGTGTATGAGTATGAAAGCCATTACAGGGGTGAGGGAATTTCTCTAGAACAATGTTTTTCAACCTTTTTTTAATCTCACAGCACCTTTGAACCTATAGTTAAACTTCCACAGCACACTTAAATTATGTAGATCAAAAGGAAAAACAAGAGTTAAAAAAAAGAATATACTTACTGTGCTTTGAATGTCTTTTGAAATAATTTTACCAGTATACCGAGGCACACCAGTTGAAAATCATGCTCTAGAAGGTTCCTGTGCCCTGAGGATGGCCCATGTGTTCCGGAGGACTGGCTACAACTAAGGGATTATTAGTTGTAAGAGGAATTGGCTTCTTCCTGGAATTCTATAGACCTCATTTGCATAAAAACAGAGCCATATTTTAAATGCAAGTGTGGTAATTATTACTAAGAAATTCTGTGTAAAGCAGTGACTTCTTGGTAAAGTTCATAATGGTTCCCTTTTCTGGGGTGATTGATGACTTTTGCGATCTTAGACTAAAAGCGCTACATTCATGACTGAATTCTCCACGCACCTCCTGGTGCACGAAATAGGATGGTTTCTTATTAAATGTAGATTGGAACATTTTTTGAAAATCATTGTGTCAGGTACAATGGGGTTTTTGTCTCACATGTGCCACAGATGACAATCACGGAATTACTCAAGATGCCCTGCAGGTACTATTTGTGATTTTACCTACCATTCCTGTTTGCCTGAAATGTACAAGACTACACTGTAATCTTCCCACCTCGGGGCCACTTACTCAAAGCTTCTTGGGTTTATGTATTCCCAGGCTAAGGCCCCTCGTATTGGCTCGGAATAAATCTCTTTAAATTAAAAAACAAAAACAAAACCTCCAAGCCGTGGATTCATTGGTATTTTTTCCAAGGTAAGAGGAAGGACAACAACATAAGCTCCGAAACCTTTCCCTCTCCCTCCTGGCCTGGCTCCCGATGAACTTCAGAGATAGCTTTCTCTCTGGGGTCACCTACCGAAAAGTGCTTTCCAAATTGCTTTGCAGAGCAGGCGACATAAATATTAACTTGAAGGCTGGAAAGTGCTGCTTTTTAGTAAAGAGAATTTAGTGAAATGCAGGAGTGTGAACTTAGCTCCCATCTCCGTCCCCTCAGCCTGCACTTCTCAGTGCCCTGCGCACACGTGCCCCGTGCACAGCTCTACGTGCATTTTACGTTGGTAGCATAATCATGAAAGCCACATTGCATGCAGCCGCTCCTTGTTAAAGAAATACGTTTGGGGCGGCACCTGTGGCTCAAGAGTAGGGTGCAGGCCCCATATACTGGAGGTGGCAGGTTCAAACCTGGCCCCTGCAAAAAAGTAAAAAAATAAAAAAATAAAAAAAAAAGAAAAGAATTTGGTTAGTTTTTGAACTGTGGCTTCCAAAGACACCATTTCCTTAAAAGCTTAATTAATATTAAGCTTGTGCCCAACATAGTCCACGCCCTTTACGGGACCCTGCACTGTGTGGTCTGTGTCCACCTCAGTGACCCCGATTCTCGGCATGGAGAATCACTGGGCAGTACAAATAAATGGACCTAGTGTGTTCAAACAAATGGAAATGTTTCTCCATATGTGGTGTCCA